CAGTACTCCAAAGAATGGGGCTAAGATTTATGATTAAAATATGGCAGCAGACAACTGTCTAAGAGCAGATGCAAATATTTTCTCCTCTTTTGGTTAGGAAGCAATATTCCCAGAGTGGTCCCATTTCTAAAACATCCTTCTCATACTATCTCCTCCTCTGATCTCAACGTTACGTGGTACTGCCACGGTTCTGGCATGACCCTCTCTTACCCTACTCTCTTCCTTGGAACCCTGGCCTTTCCTAAAGTTTGAACTCTAAAAACAGAGAAAAAAATATTATCTTATTTTACAGCATTAAAAAGCTATGTATCACGTAGCTTTCTAAAACACAATGGCATTGAACAGACAAAGTTCTTTATCCACCCAGATTCACTGAGTCTGAGAGCTCTGCTACATACTTGGGCTAAAATAAAACACCACTTTTCAGAGATGATTAATGGACAGCCTGGTCAAATTCGAAGCTTTTTGATGTATAAAACTTTATAAATGGAACTACTCCATCAACAGGCAAAGTGTAACCAAAATCTGTCTAGATGGATAGTGTATAATTCTGCACAGGACTCTGTTTAGTAAATGCATCACTGTATATGTCAGGAATCTTACTCCAATAAAGGAACAAAGATTCTTTTTTTAAAAAAATTATTATCTTACTTCTCTGCCCCGTTACATATCTGGATATTTCTACCAGTCTGTCAACTAATTCATAAAACAGCTAAAACCATAAATCTCATCTATATATCTATTCAAACTAATTCTTTTACTAACGCATCCTACAATATGTGCGTTCCCTCAGTCAACTGGGTTTTGAACACTCTGGAGTTGTTTGAGTGCTTCCTTATAATCCACAAGCTATAAAATCTTTTTTAAAAAATCATACTTTTCTTTGTTCAATCGAGTTTTTCTTCTCTGTTATTATATTATACAAATAATCAAATCCAACTATTGTTTTTTACATGTATGTGTGTGTATGTATATATTTCCACACATGTATGTAAGCCCTACATATTCTCAGTGGTCCATAGTACCATTCCTCTAACTAGATTGCTTCTTTCCCTCAGTTTTCTAGTTCTAAAATACCAATTTCCACTCACTCTCAACTAAGAAAGCTACCTCACTCCAACTTTCCTTGTAAAGTGGAAAGTGCCTGGATATTATAAAGGGCCATCATTTTCAATTATGTGATAATGATTCTCTTTATCTTTTCCCAAAGACCAAGCTCATTAGGTTTTGATTTTACAATCTTGATTTTCCTGATATTATAGGAATCAATAAATTTGTGTCAGATAATGGCATTTGACCACTTTCCTTATTAATTTACATTTAAATGTTCCTGCTACCATAAGAACAAGCTAACGCCAAGGAAAAAATCATATTTCCCCTGTAATTGCTTAGCACTTCCGGACTAAATTTAGCCAATTTCTTCATGAAGACAAAACACTCCAAGTGTTTATCCATAAGGCAAATTCTATCTATCTATCTATCTATCTATCTATCTATCTATCTATCTATCTATCTATCTATCTATCATCTATACAATATTCTGTCTGTGTATGTCTGCAGGCCAGAAGAGGGCACCGGACATCATTACAGATGGTTGTGCACCATGTGGTTGCAGGGAATTGAACTCAGGACCTTTGGAAGAGCAGGCAATGCTCTTAACCACTGAGCCATCTCTCCAGCCCAAGGCAAATTCTTAAAAGCAGTCTGGTTTCCTCTCTTTAGTCTTCTCTCTAGCACTTCCGTATCTTACTGACAGACATTTAAGTAAACTGTCTGTTGTAATTCTTACATTAAGCTTTCATAGACAAAAACTCTTAATGATGCTTAATTCCCAGTGATTATTGAGACAAATTTCTAAACAAATTCTGTAGATTTAAGAAAACCAAGAATGAACACAATTTTCAAAAGGTAGTTGAAATTTAGCATCACTAAAACGATAGCTAGTATGTGAGAATACCACAAAAAATGACTTCACAATAATATAAGCTCTTAGAGAATTAATCATTTAAGATATATATGGGGCTGATTATCTTTGAGCTATCAGTATCACTCTCCTCATATTTCTCATCACTTCCACGGACTTTCCTGAGGACTCTGCAACTGACAAATGAGGAAAGGAACACAAAAACTATGATGGTACCTAAAAGACTTGAGTAGCTTCAATTTCAGTACATAGTGATGAAAACCCTGGAGAGCTGAGAAAAGATTATCTGAATATAGACAAGGGCAATCTGGCTATTGAAAAACCTCTCAAATTACTAATTCTAACTTAAATATAGGACAAACTGGTAAGTTAATAAAGGTAAATAAAGGAGAACTGGTAAGTTAATGAGGAATAGCATATTAGTAATTTATAATTTGAATATAAAGATACTTGATAAATTGAAAGTATATTGGAAGGAGAAAAAGGTTTCAGTCCTTAAAATTGGGTACAAGCATGGACTTTCAGATAGTCAAACATGATTAATGAAAGCTGGTTTAAAAGCTATCCCCAGGAACAGAGCAATGCCTCAATGGTTAAAAGCACTTCAGCTATTCCAGAGGACCCGTTTGGTTCCTAGCACCCAGGGAACTGGATGGCTCACAACCAGCTGTTACTTCAGCTCCAGATTTGATGCCCTTTTCTGACCTCCATAGTAGCATACCCCCCACTCCCCATTCCCAATAAAAATAAGCCTTAAAAAGTCTACCCCACTGATGGGCAAATTTATGCTTCAATATATGTAGATAACACAAATCATATACAGGAGTTATGGCTTCCTAAACCAACGGTTCTCAACCTGTGGGTGGCAACCTCTTTGGGGCTGCATGTCAGATATTTACATTTTGATTCATAACAGTAGCAAAGTTATAGTTGTGAAGGATCAATGAAAAAAATCTTATGGTTGGGGGTCACTACAACATGAGGAACTATATTAAAGGGTTGCAGCATTAGGAAGGTTGAGGATCATTGTCCTAAATTCTTGAATAGTTCTATTTAACAAGAGAATTATCTTTTTAAAATACTTATTTGGCAAATCAATTATTAAAAAAAAAACCAACCAAACAACAACACAAAAACACATCACAAACCCCCAAATTTACAATAGTCCAAAATAAGGCTATTTGGTGAGATCCAAAACAAAGCCAAAAGTTATAATTAACATTTTAAAAGCAGTATTATTCTGTTAGGAATAAACAGAAGCACAGTGCTTTCTCAGTGTCAGTTAACAAGTCTGTATTTGCCAAATAAAGCTGTATAAACTGTTCTGTTAGAACTAATAAAGCCCGTCACTCCTCATTTGTGTGTGTGTCTATCACTTCCCCCATCTTAATAATAAGGCAAGGCCTCCAAATGATTCTGGATCTTGTTGACTGGCTAGACTGGGTAGACCAGCAGGCCAGTGAAATTCTGGAATTGTCCTGTTGTCACCTTCTAGTGTCTGGACTGCCACACCTACATTGTTTTTTCTCTTTTATATGGGTGATAGGGATCTAAATTCAGGTCTACTGCCTTTTTCCCAGTCCAGAAATATATTTTTAACCTATGAAAAACTAATAGATACAGAATTTGCCCATTTCTGAGATGCTAAAGGTATTTGGTATCTACTAAAAAGAACAAGTATTTAGCTGTAACAACAAATTGTGACCAAGTAACTTCTATGGTTGTCCTACAATGAAACCACTTTAATATTAGACCAAAATTATAGAAAATAAAGATTAAACTTTCCACAACATATTAATGAAAATAATATTCATTTATACTGACATGATAGCTTATGAAAGCTAGATATTACAAATAATTAAACTGCATTTAAAGCTACTTATCATATTCAAATAGAGTATTTCCTTTGTATTGAGGAAAAGTATAAGGCATACCTCAAGTACTATTTACATGATTAAAACTTTGTTTCATACTATAATCTAGTTATGTATTTCTCTATAATACTTCATACTGTTAGAACAAAACTAATTTCAACTTGATTATATACACAGCATTACAAATTTTAAAACTTCCTGTTCATAAACTATCTAAAATAATTTTTGGCTAAGTAAGAAACAAAACATCTAAAAAATGTAAAGTATTAGAAAATATCTTTTGAGTTATACACACAAACAAATCAAGCCAAAAATTAAAAGAAAGCTTTACTATTTACTATTAGCGCAATGCAGATCATGTCTTAATATGACATGTACAGGCACTCAGCAACAATCTTTTCTAATGAAAGAGGTAGAGTGGAGTCTATTAGTGTTATCCAAAAGTATGCCAGATGACACAAATGCGTTGCCAGGCAGAGTTAAAAGAATCTAACAAGCTTTGTGGGAATTTAAGAAACACTGTGCTCAACTCCTATTAATTAAATACAGAATGATGGATTGCTAATAAATATTCAGCCAAATAACTGAACAAAGCATATACTATTTAAAAATGTGTGTTAAGCAGAAAGATAAACCAAAGTATCTTTTGCCAAAAGTGAAATCAAAGAGTTTTTTTTTGTTTTGTTTTAAGTGAAAAATAAGACCTAAACAGTATCTCTGTGAAAAAGCAACCTGTTTGGGGGAGGGGGGGGGTCTTACAAATTGTTTTATAGATATACAAAATTCTAGCAAGCAAATGTGGTGACAATTTGTTGTCAAAATTAATGATAATTTTGTTACTCAGGTCTTGTCCCTCTTCCAGTTTAATTTTTGAATGGTATTTTGTTTTGTTATAAATCCTATAAAACGGCACAAAAATAAGACTTATTTAACAGAAAAATGTTTTGCCTTAAAATATATGAAGCGACTATTTCAAGACAATGGAATATTTAATCCTTAAAAATAGATATAACATGCACAGAATGCAATAAAATTAAAAAGCACATTTATGTTCTATAGAAAATAGTCTTTTTGGTTTATTTTGCTGCTTTGTTCCATGCTAGATTCCATGTGATTTCCCCCCTTTAACAAAAGTCAGTTTTATGCAAAGCAATTCATGCATACACTTTTGCATGTATGCATTCCATATCAAGTAATCATACCTATCCCAGAGGCTCTTTGATTCCTGAAACGTGTTCAAATGGAACGCTTGGTAGAAAGCAGTTGAAGGATTCCTGTGAGATCCAAGAATCAAATGGAAATGAAGTTGAGAATGTACAGTATATTCAGTACTTACAAAAAATGGAAGATTTTAGATTCTCATACAGTGTAACCACTTAAATTTGAAAAAGGAAAAAAAAAACATTGAGACTGCTTAAAACAATGCTTTTTAAAGCACACAAAATTCACAAACCACAGAAATTCAGATTCAAAATTTTAAAAGAACAAATAACAGATAAAGTTAAATACTAGCATTCAATTGTGTGTATATATACATAAAATTAACCAGAGCCTATCAATACCCTGTTGTAGTGATGCCTTAATGATCATCTATGGTTGTTCTCCAGTAGCATATCCACATACAACACTAAGCTATAGCTTTCTAGGATTTGTTAACAGTGAAGGGTTAATGATGAATAATAAACAGTTCTTCTTGGTTGGACTTGATACATTTCCACTTTTAAGTTTATTTGTGTGTAGTTTCTCTAGGCTAGTGGTGGGGGGAACAATGTGATTGTATGGAAGCATTCTAATTTCTTGCATGAGTATAATGCCCCCTTTAAAGGGGAAAACCTATCAACTGTATCATTCATTCCTACTATCCCTATGGTCAACACCACAGAACTCTAACTAACTAATGAGCTCATGTAGGCTAACTCCAGTATGTACAATTGACCCGATGTGTCAGGAATGATTTCTCAAGGAGCTAAGCTTTTGACTAACCTGGTTCCTAACTGTTTCCACTCATTAAGCATAATTCTAATGTCTTCCTCACCATCCACCTGTACTTTGGAGGCTAGCATGTACCTGTCATATCACTTAAAAAATCCTTAACTCAGGGCTAAAGAAGATGGCTCACTGTTTGAGAGCATATCTGCGCTTGCTGAGGACCCAAGTTTAGTTCCTAGTACCCACTCATAACTGCCTAGGACTTCAACTCCACAGATTCTGATATCAAGTCAATCATCCACTCAATCAACCAAACTTTCTTCTCTGAGGCCACAAGAAAAACAAAAAACAAACAAACCCAATCTTTGATTCATGATAGGAAGAACAGCAGTAAAAAATATACTATATGCCCAACGCTATTCAAACTGCTTTACATTATTGCCTCAAATTTCTACAACATCCCTACCTAAAAGGAGTAAGAGGTAACTCCCCAAATGTCAGAGTAGGTAGCCTAATTTTATGCTTTTAAACCACTATACTAAACATACCAGAGTCAAAACCTGACTTCTCTAGCTCTATGTTCTTTTAAACAACAGTTATTAAAATAGTTAAACATGATTAAGTAATACTATAGTATTGTTTAGCCTTTGTCTAATAGTTAAGACTGTAACCATATCTAAATCTTTTGGGTACAGCCAATGCTCAATTGCTATTATGTTATTAAAAAATAATCTTCAGATGCTTTTCTGAAACCTTACTAGGTGCCTTAAGAAAGGCTGCTGGATAACAGGACAGGAAACAAAAACCTGCTTCTGGGGCTTGAGAGGTAAGTGGTTCAGCAGTTAAGAACATTTTTTACTCCTGCAGAACCTAGCACAGATTTCAGGTAGCTCACAATTCACTGTACCTCCAGCTCTAGGAGATCCAATACCCTCTCGTGGCCTCCACGGACACTGGCAGACACACAGCACACATCCACAGAAACACCACAGACACTGGCAGACACACAGCACACATCCACACAAACACCACGGACACTGGCAGACACAGCACACATCCACACAAACACATGCATATACAAGTAAATGAAAAAAAATACAACTAAACCTTAAAATTATTCATAAAGTTGACGGCAACAGCAATCAAATATCAACAATCATCAAACTAAAAACAAGAGAATCATGACTTCAAAACCTGAATTAAGCCAAGCTGTGTTGGATGCATAGCCCTTTTTCATACGGCATTTTAGATTTTTATCCAGTAGATATCACTTTTGATAAACTAGAAAAGGTACAGACATTGGGTAACAGAGAATCACCAAAGTAGCCGAAAAAGTACAAAGTAGTTAAAAAACTAGGACTTTTTAACAATATAAAGTTTTTGTTGCTTTCCTTACTCTATTTCCTTTCTAGTCTTTAAACCCTTTTTCTTACCTTTTTCTTTTGATTGGCTAAGGCAATCAAAAGCACAGGTTAGATCTGCCAACAACAAAGTTTAAGAGGAATCTAACATCTTCTAACTTTTGTTAGGCTACCTTTTCCCACTGTACTTCAAAATCAAGTCAGCCAAGTAAGATAAAAGGCAAATGAACCGAAAACCTAATTTGGCTCCTCCCACCATCAACTAAATCAGGTTTGCCCAGGACTATGTGAGCACTGGGAAGGCTATTCCTTATATTGTTTAGGAACTTCAACTTTAATGGAAAGACTCAAAGTCGGAAGGAGAAAACTAACAGAGTAAACTTTGAAGTTAGTCCCTAGTTTGGAATTAAAAATACTTTATAAAGAGCATTTAAAATGAAATCTATTCAGAGGGATGACATTTTAAAGAACTTCCGATATTTTGACTTTGGAAATATCTATATTAATTTGAAGCAAATTCACCTGCTAAACAAAATGGCTTCAAATAAAGTCTTATGAAATACCATTTTTTTCAATGTAATGACACAGTATTTCTCAAATATAAAATAAAAAATTATCTACTAGCCGGGCAGTGGTGGCGCACGCCTTTAATCCCAGCACTTGGGAGGCAGAGGCAGGCGGATCTCTGTGAGTTCGAGACCAGTCTGGTCTACAAGAGCTAGTTCCAGGACAGGCTCCAAAACCACAGAGAAACCCTGTCTCGAAAAACCAAAAAAAAAAAAAAAAAAAAAAATCTACTGTTAATAGTAAATCTCAGGATATGAGAATGATCTATGAAATAAAGTACAATAAGGGGAGGAAAGGATATATTTTACTCAGTGGTTTTGAAAAATGTCTACAAACAAGAAAACAGCATTTTCCATTTAGATGACTGCAATAAATTCAATATAAACTACAGTTCATTCTTCTAAGAATTGCTTTACTTAGAGTGGTAGTTTATATTCACTTCAAACAAGCTGTTAGGAATCTGGTTTCAAATGTGATTTCTTGCAGAAGAGAATATATGGTCAAAAATGCAAAGTTTAAAATCTCAATTATAACTTGGTGCTATCAAGTTTCACTTAGCACTGAAATGATCTTATTAACAGAGCTTTCCTTGGGACCTCAGCAGCCTCAATTTCTTTGTCATTCTCAAGTAATTGTTAATTGTGCCCACTAGTATTTACAAATGGCTTTTCTTTATCTATTCCCTGGCTTCATACACTAGTCTGTCACATTAATTTCCCAGCACATGAAAACAGTATGCCAGAAAGTGACAAACACATAGAATACATATCCACTTGCTTTAGCAAGACATTCTGTTTATAGGGCAACTACAGTAGGGAGAAGAAACACACCTGCATACCCCACATCTCAAAATAAACCTAAAGTGCTGGTAAAGCTTAAAGGGAAACATATGTGAGCCTCAACTCAACAAAAACCTCTTTTCTAACCCCACTTTTAAGATTTAAATAGAAATCAGACAAATAAATATCAACAAGGGCCATTCCAAATTTATGTGTGGATTTTAAGTATCTGTAAGTATCTTTCAGGTAAACAGTCACAACATAACTATCAGTGACTACAGTAATTTTCCTTTCTTCCCACATCATTCATTGTTTGCTAAGCAATAAAGCAAAGGAGCACTGGCTTTGGAGTGGCAGACCTAAGTGTTTATGTTTTATCATGTTTCCTTAATCCACAAAGGAGAATAAAAATCTTGCTTATAGATTGCTGTAAAGATCAAATGAGATAATGTTTATATAGGGTTTGACACAATTAAGCTTAATTTTATGTTGTACAAAATTCAACTTTTGGTAGAGAATCTTAGCAGGCATTAAATATGTCATCATTGTTATGGTAATGTTGAAGCAAATGAAATACTTAAATTTTGAGCTAGGTGTACCAAACTATTTAGTACATTCTACCACCTAACAATTCTGACTGCTGGGCCCCAGTGAAGACCCCCATGCAAAACATAACTTTATCATACTTTAATGTATAATACAATAATTACTGAAATTATTGAAGTAAATTGTAAGATAAACACTACTTTAGCAATAAAAGCTTCAAGAAATGCTTCTAAGTAGAAATTATAAAGTTAATGTAAGAATCTAAATTTACTGTGGAATTAAGCCCTTCACTCTGCTTCCTGTCAAGTTAATCAAAATTTCCCAAGTGCGACCGTCTCACTCTTCAATTTCATTACACAAGCTGCCACTTCTCTGGGCTTAGCAAGTCATTTCTCTTATCAGTGATCTAATGTGAATGGCCCATTTAATTAAAACTCAGTCCAAAAGTCACCCTCAGAAGAACGTACAAATGATACATTGATTCTGAAGACAGGAAGTGGGTGGCTGGGGAACAAATGTAAGAAGTTTTCAATTTATCCCGGTTTGGATATTTTAAGTTCTGAACTATATACACACATGTATAGGCAAAGACAGTGTCTGAACAGAAGTCTTCAGTCTATATTAGGAAATCAAATTTCCATTAGCACTTACTATCTGCTCCATCAAAACCTAACACATATGAAATATAATGTAATCATATAGACTACTACCTTAGAAGAAAGAGTCTCACTTCCGTACCCTATAGTTTAATACTTGGAGAACACTACAATTGGCTGGTGTATTGTTCCTGTAGCTATTTACTTTGCATACAATTTACTTCTCAAGCATTGAGTAAAGAAGTAAGCTTCATTTTCTTCTTTCCTTCCAATCAATCAATCAATCAACCAATCAATCATACAATGGTTGGTAGTGGCAAAAAAAAAAAAAAAAAAAAGGGTTGGGGGGTTATGACAAAAGAAAAGTTTCTCCCCAGGGGCTGGAGAGATGGCTCAGTGTTAAGAGCACTGCCTGCTCTTCCAAAGGTTCTTGGTTCAATTCCCAGCAATCACATGGTGGCTCNTAATAAAATAATAAATAAATAATTTTTTTTTT